AAGCCTCATCTTTCTCCCATGGAGCGGCTGGTAGTTTCAAACCGCTGACCTTAAGGTTCGCAGCCCGATTCGTAACCACTACGCTACCAGAGCTCCTTGAGGAGACTTCAAAAAAATTGTGGGGAAACAGGATTAAAAGATAGTGGAATTTTTCCTTGAACTTTTTGAAGCCATCTCATATATGTTGTTAATGCTATAATGAGTATGTCCAAGAAAGGGATTTGAAAGAATGGGCTATTTAAAGTTGGGCCTTTGGAAAGACAAAAGGATTGCTTAGAATATAATGAGATCAACTGAAATTAACGTTTTTGCTTTTATATTTTTAACTTAAAGCAATAAAATACTTTTTATGCTAGCTGTTGTTACATGCTGTGGAGTCGATTCCGACCCATAGCGACCCTGTACAGGGTTTCTGAGGCTGTAAATCTTTACGGGAACAGAAAGCCTCATGTTTCTCCCACGAAACAGCTGGTAGTTTCTAACTGCTGACCCTGAGTATAGCAGCCCGATTCATAACCACTATGCCACCAGAGCTCGTATATATATGTATATATACATACGTACATACATACACACACATACCTAGGAGGGGAATAGCTGGGTCATGTGGTAGTTCTATGCTCAACTTTTTGAGGAACTGCCAAACCTTTCCATAACAGCTCTACCACGTTGCATTCTCACCAGCAATGGATAAAGGTTCAAATTTCTCCACATCCTCACCTACGTTTGTTATTTTTTTAACCGTAGAATTCCTGTTGTTGTGTTGCACCTAGCCAGTTCCAACTCATTGGGACCCCATAAATAGCTGACCTTGTGGGAGTAAAATGGTATCTCATTTAAGTTTTGATTTGCATCTCTTTAATGGCTAATAACATGGAGCATCTTTGATGCATGTGCTTTTTGACCATTTGAATAAACTCTTTGGTGAAATGTCTGTTTAGGTCCTTTGCCCATTTTTTGATTGGGTTCTTTTTCGTGGTGTTAGGTTGTAAAGTTTTATTATATTTGCTTACCTAACTACCATGGTTTGCTTCAATTCACAAACAGACTTGAGCATAGTTTATCACTTTTTGTTGAATGACTGGGTGTCTTAAATACTTTGTATTCATTGTTTTCAACTCTCTTTTTTAGGAATATTTTCAAGCCCAACAGCCCAAAACTCAGGAGAGTGAACTGAAAATGAGCACTACGTTGTCAGACACTGGTAACAAAATTGTGTTAGCTAATATTTGTTCTGTCTAATACAGAAGTTCTGGTATGGTACTGTAGGATAAGCACTGGACCAAAAGGTAAGTTGAACCCTAAGGTCAGAGGTTCAAACCTACCAGCCACTCCTTGGAAACCCTATATATAGGGTTGCTCTGAGTCGAAATCCACTTGACAGTACTAAACAACAATATAGTCTACTTTGTTTTTAGAATGTTCTGAATAGTTCATTGTGTTGGGTTTCAAGTCTAGGAGAATAACCTCTAAAAGAAAGGAAAAGAGTGCATTTTTACTTTTATGTAAATCCTAATTTTTCTCTTCATATTTTGTTTTCACAGCTTCGCAATTGACTACAGGCATTCCGCTTTCTCTGGCATCATCTGGCGTAAACAAAATGCTTCCTTCAGTTTCAACCACAGTTACTCAGGCTTCTTGTTCTGGTTGTAAAAAAATCCTCCAAAAAGGACAAACTGCTTATCAGAGAAAAGGATCTACTCAGCTATTCTGCTCCACACTGTGCATCACTGAATACATTTCATCAGCAAGTTTACCGGCTTCTTCCAAGAGAACTTGCTCAAACTGCTCCAAGTATATAATTCTAAATTATGCCCCCTTTTACTTCCCTACCTAAATCTTTATCATTCTTGGACATAATTTTCTACATTTTCATTGTTCTGAAAAAAATGTTACCTTTGTATAGTGAAAATAAGCTGTGCCTGCTTTACTTCCTCTAATAGGTTTTTCAGATAAAGCTTTTCAACTAGTTGAGGAATTAAAGTATGAAGAGCTCGGTTTCTCTTCAACTTTGAAATAATGTGATTTCTAAAACATATTTTTGTGTTCTTCTCAGTTGAAATTCTCTAGAAGTAGGATGAATGTACAAGAAGGCTTCAAAAAGCTCACGGATAAAATGGGATTAAAAGATAATGGAATTTTTTCACAAACTTTTTGAAGCTCCCTCATGTGTCAGTTCTGTTTTATCATTTAACTTGTAGGCAGCAATCACTCAAAAGTTAATCTAACATTTATTTTGGAACTTCTAAGGTTTTAAGTAATAGAATTATTTCTTTTTTTAATGGTAAACAAAGTTATTTTTTTGAAAACGTCAATAGTCTAGTGATTGATAATCATATATATATATATGTATATAATCCTTTTGAAGGTTTCTCTAAGGGTCTTTTTTGCTTTTTTACATATGTAAGGCAATTTAGATTTTGAGACAGTACTGATTTCCCTCAAGTTCATAATAAAATAGTGGAAAATGTCCACAGCTTCTCTCTCTACCCTGAAAGTCCTGCAGTAATATATTTCTGAGTTCTCACTACTCATTGAATGTTAATATAATGCTAAATTTAAGCTTTGCCTCTAAATATAATGAATTCCTTTCAAATAATGACTTGTTTTAGAATCTGATTGCCATCATTTGAATCCTTCTCCCACAATTTGCAGTCATGTTTTGCTACCCAAAGTATGATCCTTGAATAGCTAGATCAGCATCATCTAGGAGCTTTTTAAAAATCATTATTTCGAGTCTCATCCAGACTTACTGTTTCAGACTCTGCATTTTAATAAGATCTCAGGTGATTCATAGACATGTTAAAGTTTGGGAAGCATTGAGAACAGCTTTGCTTCTTAGTATTCCCATCTGTTTTGTTACATGTACATAAGAATTTTGAGAATTAAATAATAGATTTAATGATTAGGACAATATTGGCAAATAATAAGACCTCAATAAATGTTAGCTACCACTATTCTCTTAAACTCACAATGGCTTTTTATTGGTTACTTTAGTTTCTCTTTTGACTGCTGCTTCAGGTGTTATCCATTGCTTCAAGTCTTACCACCCCCTGAAGAACCCAGAAAGAAATTAGGGAAAAAAGTCTTGCCCCCTTGAGTTCTATACAGGTTCACTATGAGTTGGAACTAACTCCGACTCCACAGTATATAACCACCAACTACCACCACCCTTGAGTTCTGCTTAACCTTTTGTCTTTTGCTTTCTCAACCCTTTGATGCTGTTTTGTCTTCGGTGGTTTTTTTCTATGGCTGTATGGCACCATCCTTACTTACTTCTTCAGCATGCTTTCTCTCTGCAGAATCATAACACTGAAAGGGACCTTAGAGATCATGCAATCCACACCTTTTCTTTTGGTTTTTAGGAAACTAAGGTCCTGAAAAGTTAAGATACTATGTTGCTCTGTTCAGAGTTTCCCTTTTTGTATCTTCAGCAAGTTGAAACTAATTGACAAAAGCTGAAGCAGGGAAGATTTAGTATGTAAACTGCTGGTTAAGGCAAAGAAATCTAGTAAGAGCAAAAATAGAAGTCAAATATTAATTTTGGAATAAAATTTTTTGTAATATAACTATTTTATAGATTAGTGGAAATATGGTAATACAGCTTAGCCTGTGAGAAACTATCTACTTAAAAGTAATTTGTGCTTTTTTCATAAAGTTTTTTTATTCCGCAATCATTAGTATCTTACATTAATTTATAGTTCTTAAAATTTTAGTTAATTTTCTGTTTTTTTTTTTTTTGCATTTTATTTTAAGCTTAATTTACTGCCAAGCCTAAGTTTTTGTTTCTTCAGTTTCTTCTGAGATACATCTTTTTCTTCAGTGCAACCTCCTCTTCTGGTTTAGGAACAATTTGTTCCTTTTCAGTAAGGATCATCTCAGTGTGGCAGGGGGAAGCTCATGTAGGGTTTGATCCAACCATGAGCTCTGTAAGTTTGGTGGCGCATCTTGGGGACTTTGTTGACCTGGATCTGCTCAATGACCGGAGAATCCATATCTAAACCCTGAAGTTTAACATAGCTCTCTATTTGTAAGCATCTGCAGCAAAAATTTCAGTGCTGTTTTTGGGCCGCTGACTCTGTATCAAACCCCACTGTTTGGCCTGGGCACACCTGCTGATGCCACTATTGTAAAGTTGGAATGGTACACATTGCTTCTGCTAAGTGACATCTTTACGATACTTGGTGGCTTTCCAGCTATGCATACTAACTTTGATGGCTTGGGCAGTCTCACAGGTATTCTTAAAATGGACCCAGAGATTTGAACCTCTGGATTTGCATGATTTTGTGGGGTTTTGTGCATTGAGTGAGTTAGTGGAACACTTTGTTACCTCACGACGCTTATGGAAAGAGAGAGGCAGTTTTCTGTTACTTTTAAGGTTTCTTTTCTGTTGTTGCTAGGTACCATCAAGTTGATTCTGACTCATAGTGACCTTATATACAAGAAAACAAAACACTGCCCAGTCCTGTGCCATCTTCAAAGGCATTGTTATGTTTGAGCCCATTGTTACAGCCACTATGTCAGTAAGATGTTAATTTAAATTTGTTTGGGATTAATGCCATTTTCATTTTATTTCATAAGCCAAATGAAAGAAGGATTACTTTGAGGATGACATTTTAAGTCTTACTGTAAAAAGGTGATTTTTTTTCCTGAGAATGATGGATTTAAGAAGTGTCATTTCTAAATTTAGTATTCCAGTTGGAACCAATGGAGACCTAGTTGAGGTCAAAATAGTCCCATACACTAAAACTCTCTCTAACACTTGGTTTATTTATAAGACAGTTGTTCAGACCTATGTTCAAAGTTTGTTTAAGCTAATTTTAGGCACTTCTAATAAAATAGATTTTTAATTTTTTGTTTATAAGACCTTAATAGGTTAGAACCCAGTAATATAGCATGCTTATAGCAGTATTTCTTCTGCCTCCCTTTCTATATGGCTAATTTTTTCTCTTTAAAGTCAGCCTCAAATATGTTTCCCTTTCATCTACTCCCATGCCATCTTCCCAAGTCATAATATAGTAGTGATTTTTAAATATTTGTATTGCCTTATTAGACTAAACATCTTGACGTTGTTGTTGTTGTTAAGTACCCTGGAGTCAGTTCTGACTTATAGTAACCCTACACAGGGTTTCCGAGGCTGCACATCTTTACAGGAGCAGAAAGCCTCATCTTTCTCCCATAGAATAGCTAGTAGTTTCAAACTACCGACCTTGAGGTTAGCAGCCCGATTCATAACCACTATGCTACCAGAGCTCCTTGACCAATTTTGCTCATCCCTGTATTCTCAAGACCTAACACTACCGGCCACAGAGTAAATTTTAGAAAAATTTTTGTCAGATGAAATGTAAGAACAGCATAACTCTAGCACTGTGGATAAAAATATATTTTAACTTTTTATTGTGAATTGAGTGAAAGTTGACTGAACAAATCACCAATTTTACATTCAACAAAGTATACAGTTCATTTCATCTCTATTGCAATTCCCACAATGTAGCATCATTTATCTCAATTTCCTATGTTTTCCGTTTCTCCTTTGTACCACACCCTTCTCAATTTTGTCCATAGGTAAATGCTGCCCTTTTGATCTCAAATGGTTGACCACTCTGTGGTATGCATACCTCACAAGCAATATATACATATATATATTGCTTGACTGAAAATTGAGCTGTGGCCCTGGATCACCCTTCAGGTCTCAGGGTTCTACCAGTTTCTGTCTGAAAGTAAACCTGGTGTTTTTTATGATTGTGAGTTTTGTTCCATATTCTCTCCCATTCTACCTAGCACCTTCTAATGCAATCCCTTTCAGAGCAATTGGTAGTGATAACTGGGCAACAGTTAGTTCATCTGGCTTCAGGCTAATTGTTTCCATGTGTTTTCAATTTTCATCTCTCATCTTTTCTCTGAACAAGGAGAGACCAATAGTCATATCTTAGACAACTGCTCATTGAGCTTTAAAGGTCTTGGTTGCTACTCACCAAAGTTGGTTATAGAATGTTGTCTTAGTGGACTATGTTATGCCAACCGATCACGGTGTCCCCTAAGTAGGACTGTATGCATTTTTTTATGTGTTTTGTTGGTGGTGTTGAGGCAACAAAACATACCAGTTCAACAGTTTCTACATGTACATTTCAGTGACACTGGTTATATTCTTTACTTTTGTGCAACCATTCTCATCCTCCTTTTCCTCATCGGTCATCCTCCATTAACATGAGTTCACTCCCACTAAGTGTCCTTCCTATCTAACCTTTATGTTGCTATAGTTAGCTTGATTCCAATAGATATTTAAAAGAGCACGGTCCTCAAAGCAGACATTTGTTACTAAGGTAAAGTACTATTTGTATTTAAAAGACTTCAGGG